CCTCGCGTGGCAAACTGCCAGAGTCAGCGTCGCTGGTAGGCTCAGGAAGTTCTGTGTCCGCTGCGGCAGGGCGAGAGTCAGCGTCGGTGGCAGGCTCAGGAAGTTCTGTGTCCGCGTCCGCTGTGGCAGGGCGAGAATCAGCGTCGGTGGCAGGTTCAGGAAGTTCAGCATCAGCTGCAGGGCGAGGTGCTTGCTTGCGACTCTTGGCGGGTTTCTTCTCATCGGCTGCGGCCGGAGGTGCTTGCTTGCGCTTGGTGGGTTTCTCCTCCTCAGCCGGTCGAGGTGCGCGCTTGCGCTTGGTGGGTTTCTCCTCAGCAGCATCCGCTGCAGGGCGAGGTGCTTGCTTGGCGCGCTTGGGTTTCTTCTCCTCAGCATCGGCTGCAGCCGGTTGAGGCGCTTCCGTGGTGGGTTTCTCCTCAACAGCATCCGGTGCAGGGCGAGGTGCTTGCTTGGCGCGCGGTCGAGGTGCTTGCTTGGCGCGCTGCTGCTTGGTCGGTTTCTTCTCCTCAGCATCGGCTGCAGCCGGTTGAGGCGCTTGCTTGGTGGGCTCCTCCTGAGCAGCATCCGGTGCAGGGCAAGGCGCTTGCTTGGCGCGCTGCTTCTTGGTGGGTTTCTTCTCCGCTTTGGCCTCCGGCTTGTCAGCTGCGGCTGGCTCCTCCTCCCCAGAAGCTTGCGAGCGCTCCTTCTTTGAAAGGGTCACTTTCTTCTTCCTTCCCTTTGTCTTGTTGATCATGGTGCCCTGGTCACTGAATGTGGGGGGTGGAGCACCGCAGACACGCTGGGCTATCTCGTCCAGGATGTGGTGCTCCATGCGTCTCAAAGGATACTTGTAATCAGCGGTGGGTGCGGGCGCGGCTTCCTTATGATTAAAACACAGCAAGGTGGAACCAGTATACGGTTTACTGTTTGGCTCAAACTCCGCAAGACCCTGAATCACGAGTCGGACGAGTCACATGTCCCTGCCCGGTGGCAGATCCAGCACTTTCCTCCAATGAGACAGCTTGGTCATCAAGATGTCCAGGGCGAGCCTGAGAAATGTAGGTCGAAGAAAAAACGAAACAAACAATCCAAGAGAGAGTTCTGAGACTTTCCCTGCATCTTAAACACCGTGCATGCCCCATTTCCATTTGTGGCCAGGCAACATCCACGATAGCTGCAGCTCGTTCAGCTGTGTGTGCGGCGCCTGGTCATATGGGGTGGTTGAGGGAGAGGGTTGAAAACAAAAGACCCACGAAGTAAACCAATTCAATAAACAGTTTTTGGCCGGTTTCAGCTCTGGGCCCGATGCATGGGTATGTTAAATCAAGCCCTTTTGAATCAACGGTTGGTGGGTGGCCTTCGGCGCGTTGGCGCATGAAGTCGAAGGAAAGGTTTCAATTGGCATCTTTTGAGATTTGCAGCCCTTTAGGGCAGTAAAAGGTCTCGTTGCGGATCCCAGGAAATTCTTATTCTCAGATTTTGTCCATGCACTATACTTGAACTTCTGCCGCACGCACAGCGTGCTATTTGGAAGGAGCGCCCAAAACCAACCCTCCCAAAGCTGGCCTCCGTGGTCGACGTAGGGAACTATAGCCTCGGTCGCGGACTTGCTTTGCATGGGAACTCCAATGAATAGCTCTCACACTCGTCCAGTACATCATTGCGGGTGAACATGTACACATATGTTGAAAATGTTGGCCTGGTCTAAGCGCTACTCTCAAACCATGATGTTTTTAAGCAAGGAGCCAGTTGGGGCTCATCATTGATTGCCAGCGGTGGCAGCTTCGCGTTCGTCATCAGGATGAAGCTCTCATCGGGGCTGTCCACGAGGTCATCCTTCAGGCGCCGATTGGGAGGAAAGGGTTCGATTGGCCAACTGTTGGAACAACTGTGAGGTCTAGAGGGATCAGGAAGGAGCCCATGTTTTGTTTGTTAATGAACGCACCGCCGAACCTAGCATACACATACTGTTAGCCATGAAACCCTGTCCCTTGTGTGTGTAACCAACATCCTGAGCTCCGAAAACAAATGTCCCTATGTTGTGCGATTTGGGATCTCTCATACAAGGGGAAATCAAATTCGAAACATACATAACGGGCGACCCCCCCGCCCTATACAAAAAAGAGAGTTGCAACTGCGCACCAAACAAACGCGGTTACACAACCCTCGCGCGCGCTAATGAATGAACACGCCTGTGCCGCGATGCTCGGCAACCCTGTTGAAGAGCCGAAAGTTTGCCCCTCTGGCAGCTGTGAGTCAGGCCACTGAAGCTGGCACTGCTGCGGGGGGTCAAGGAACTCAACATCGGAGTCCGAGTCCTCCTCTGAATCTGAATCCGGAAGCCCAAGTGTTGCACAAAGCGCTGCCCGCACGCTCAAGCACTCCTCGCACTTACAAAAAAACAGATAGCGACCCTTCTGCGTTTCAAGCACGATGTCCTCGAAATCAGGATCACCGTTAGCGTCTTCATCGTCCACGCAAACAATGTCTGCTTGGGATACGCCAGAAGGCGTGCCATCGTGCGAGATGTCACAGTCATTGACCTGGCTGGCTTCTGGAGAGTCATCCTGGGCAATGGCCACATGACTGGGCGATGGCATCGCTGTGCTGGGTTTGCCCCTGCAGGGCGTGGCCACAACTTGGCTGACGCCACCTGCTTGTGGCACTTTGCCAGGCAGCAAGGCACTTGGGCTACCTTAGCTACAGCATGCGTGCTAGGGCGTTGTTTCGCGCTTGCGTGAGGCTCACACAAATGAATTGCAACAACCACGCGTCGCATATTAAGGCCGCGCTGCCACGTGCGAACAACGCGTACGCCCCTATAGGCGCATTCTCCCATGACACAACTTCCACTTCGTCATCGCTACTTTGTTCATCGCCGTGATGCTTTCGCTGGTTTGGCCTAGCCCTCCGCGGGTTGGGCAACATGACTTTGTTGAGCCTCACAGCCATGACGGAGCAAGTACCCCTGAGGCTCGCCTTCCTCCAATACCTCCTCGCGAAGCTCAAGAGCCCTCCCAGCACATACGCTTCCTAACAAAGCACGCGGCCGTCTCGCGCAATAACACAGCGTACATATTAGTGCAGTCACGAGGCGTCGTTGCACCATCTTTTGCGATCGCGTATAGTCCGCCCTTGCGATAGGTTTCCATCAGCGATGTTGTCCAAAACAGCGAATATGGTTTCCAAGTGCGTAATTGTAATTTCACCTGCGAGTCACAGCACAGCAGTCACGCGACACGCAACTCCCACGCGCTGGTTCTTGCGCTGAGCATGCTTTGCAATGCAATCAACGTGCATACGCTCATACACCAAACTCACGCTAGCCACGCATGCCACCCATACACACGCACACGTCACACACACACACACACCCAAACAAAAACAAACTCCTCCCAGCCACCCATGCCACCCACACGCACACTAACCACGCGTACGTGCGCGCATGACACACCCACACATCAGCCACGCACGCTCGCACCTGCACGCCAACCATGTGCACACGCGCTCCCACACACACACACCGCACAGCGCACACCACACATCACAGCACACACTCACCGAACACACAAAAGCAAACATGATGAAAACACGGTCTTGTTATTTTGAAAACCCTCAAGCGCACGCCCACAAAACCACACATGTGTGTACCGCGCATGCACATGATATTGTGCAACGTAACTTGGGTGTCAGCGGCCTGTGGGAGACATGCCATAGAGTCCGCAAATCAAATCAATGTGGCGAGCCATGTCGGCATATTGAATCGCACCCACATTCGGAACTTCAATCAGGGAGTTGTTCGGCGGCCGAGCTTTGGAGCATTGCACGAATCTTTCTGCGGGAATGTGCAGTTGCAGAATACCTAGGCCAGTGAGTCTTGAACACAAATTTGCTCGATTCTTCCACCCCGGTATGCCAAGTTGCCAGCTGCATCAGCTTCCCTTCCATCCAGCGACATAGTCAGGGATACCGCCGGGGCTGTCACAACTTGTTCGGGCCGCAAAAGGGCTATATAGAGGACATGAGAAAATCCATGCTTTGCACGTGCAACTTCGTTGTCTTGCAAGCTTCGGACCCTGAGCAACTTAGCACCATTATTCGACATTTTGTCAACTTTGTGCTTTTGCAATGGGATCTCACCTCCTCTCCAGCCCCATCAGCCCTGACCCCGCCTTGAATTCCAAACCGGCGAGGCATCTTCAGAGTGAGCGGCCATCGCTCGGCGGCTCCGGGTGGGAGCAGGGTGCATCAAAGCAACGAGTTCGATGTGTAAACAACTTTCTTTCACTTTCACCATCTTGCAGCTTCACTGCACTAGATTTGGAACATGTGGTTGTCACGGTATGCTCACCAAAGCGGGCCCTAGCGGTAGCAAGACCTCATTTTAGATGTAGCTGAAGCTGGTCTCAAAGCTGGCAGTTCTTGAGGCAAAAGGCGTGGAGCTCAGGATGGCACTGAGGGCCCACGAGGGCCCCGTATCCGACAAACAGGCCGGTCCCTCCCTAGGAGGGCCCCGGACCCTCCCTAGGAGGGCCCACGAGCGTCTGGGTAAACATGTTCCGGAAAACCAACTCATGTTCGAAGAGTCGGTTGGGCCCAAGAGCGCTAAGACAGATTCGCTTGGGAAATGGTTGGGATAAACCATGAGTCATGAAACATGATTGGAACCGAAACAGAGGAACCTGATCGCTTGGGTGTGGATCCCCCCAAAAAGTGAAACTTGTTGCAGGCGAAAGGAACTATGAGGGGTGTCCAAAAGGATCAGCTCATTTTCCAATAGCAATAGAGGTTGAGCATCAGCCAAAACCAGATTGGTTTCAGTTTCTCAGCGCTCGGGAGCGACCTTGAGACTTCTTCCGCCAGATTGTGTCCAACCATCCAGTACTGGAACCAAGGACTAACACCTGCGGTCGAATATCCTGGTGGTTTAATTTTGACTCATACCCATTCCAGGATCTCCAACCCCGTTTCGCTCGAGCGAACCCAAGTTGAGCTCAAGCCGAGTTCCAACCGGAAGCTGCCTGTCGGTGGAAAAGGTCGTCGAGCAGAGAGAACACCTCAGAGAGACAACCAGAGACCCCATGCATCTTAACGATGCCCCCCGATTCACAACTCACCCCCCCAGTATTCATCACGGGGCTCCCTTTTTAGTGGGGTGTCCTTTCCTTCAGCAAAATTACCCGACCTGATTTATTTTTTTACTTTTTTTTTGGGGGGGGCGTATTAAGAATCGTGGGTCAACATTAAACGTCATCTCCAAAAGGTCCCAAGGATTTTGAGATCTTTCAGGGTCAAAAGCTCTTGGGACTTCGGCCTATAGGCCCAAATGAACCTCATCTAACCCCTCCGTGTTTTGCCTGAATCATGAGGACTTGTCAACCATAGGCCGCGGCCGTCTTGGGATTCGGCGTCATTTCTGCACCGGTTCCAGAAGTTCGAGAACCAGAAAACTCGGCTGGAATTAGGACCCCAGCAGAAAATATGTTTTGCCTAGTTAGTGGAAAACAACGGGAACCCCAAAAAAACAAAAAAGCAAAAAGGGGAGCAAAGTCCGGGGAAGAAAAGGGGAGCAAACTGTACCAGTGCTGAAACCATGGCTGGTACATTGGGGCACGTCCCGAGCCACTACTGCACATATTCAATTAGTTAGCGTCTCGAATGTTTAGAAACAGACACTAGCTCAAACGGATCGCCCATTCTCCGCATCCTCAAGATTCTGCCACCGGCCCAAAAAAGAACATGGACCAAGGACCAAAGGGGGCTAGGGGCCCATCCTAGAGGGCAACCCAGGATAAGCTGTTACAGTCAGGCTTGAGCGTTTCACAATCCTCCAAAATTTGCTGAAGTCCCTTGGACAGATACAAAGGTTTCCAGTTGAACGATTCCTTTTCAAACCAACAGACAGAAAATAACTGCCACATATTCATTTCAGCCCACTCAACCAACTAAAACCATCTAAAACCATCAGGAATCAAAGTTCTGGGAACCCACTGCTTCCAGTTGCTGTCAGAAACCGCCCCATAGCCCATGGCCATGGCCCCATGGCCCCATGGCCCAGGAACCCGAGGCCCAGCCGAGCTGCCGCTTGCGCCGTGGTGGACTGCTTGCTGTCAGCATCTCCTCGCGCGGCGTGGGGTTTCCCCCGCAAGGCTCCAATCGGGAGACCGCCGACAGTAATAATATTAATGCAAATAATAAGAAGAACACAAATAATACTAATGCTAATACGAATACTAATACGAATACGAACACTCATGATAAGAATGATGATAATAAGAGCAACAATAATGCTAAACCTAATACTAACACTATTAATTATCATGATATAACAACAATAACAGTAACAATAACACAAAACAATAATAATAATGCTGATCATAACAATAATACTAACAACACAATATATCATAGCTGGACACAAAGGAACCGATCCTCCGTTTTTCTCCGGAGGTCCGCGGTCTGCAGAAAATTTCGATCGGATGGATCGGCTCCAAGATGGATCCAGGATTAGAGTTAGGCCCAGTTATAGAATGTATATTTTCTTGTTTGCTTCACATGGAGTCACTGGTAAAATGTAATATGGGCTGCCCTCAGATTACCCGCTAATTGTGAATAACTTTTAGTGGGTTCAATGGAAACTACCACTAAACACTAAAAGGCTAACAAGCTAAGGAACCGGATGGCTGGGAGCCACCAAGTTGAGTTCCCTTTAGAAGCACATTTGGATACCCCAACTCCGGAACGGCTCCCAACTAAACAGTCCGTATGTTCATCCCTCAAACAAGTATCCCTGGAGTCTAGCCCATCCTTGGAAGTTGAGGAGCTTCGCCAAGTTCTGGGCCCAAAGCTTCAAGCGGGGCACTTCCGCGTGGTGCAGCAGGTCCGGCAGCGCCTGGCAAGGTGGGGCTGCAGCTGAGGTGGGTGGGTGGGAGGTGGGGGAGGTTGGGGGAGGTTGGGGGTGGGGGAGGTGGGGGAGGTTGGGGGGGAGCTGCGCGGGAGCTGGTGGTTGGGGGGGAGGTTTGGCAAGGGGGAGGTGGGGGAGGTTTGGGGGGAGGTTCGGGGGGGAGGTTTGGCAAGGGGGAGGTGGGGGAGGCTTGGGGGGGGAGGTTTGGGGGAGGCCCGCAGAGGTTTGGTGAGGTTGGTGGGGGGAAGGGGGGAGGTTCGGGAGGTTTGGGTGTTGGGGGAGTTGGGGGAGAGAAGAGGATGACAAGTTGTGCATCTCCACAGTGGAATCAGTACCACTGTCTAAATTGCCCACCCAACCAAAAGTCTTTTGACCATGGCACATATTGAATTACGGTCAATCTGCGGTGGCTGCGGTGAAGGATATGAAACAATAAGTGAGTTCCTGAATTCCTCCCAAATGGACCAGGGGGGCACTGGATTTCATCTTCAAAAGCTACAACTTGCTGCTGAGTTTTCTACTAAAACGGGCACCTTTGGAGGTGCAAAACACTAAAAATCTGAGGGACCCCTGACTGGCCTGGAGACGCGTTACCGAACCTATGCTGGCCATAGGGCTTCCCTTTTTGTGTCGTGAAAACGGGTCCACGGCCCCGATGTGGGGACCCAACTGTTTTTAGTCTTTGAATACAGCCGTCCCCCTAAAGAATTCGGAGAGAAGCTAAAACGTCGGCCCCGGCTCCAGTCTTCGTGGTTCTGCATAGGGCGTGCCACTGACAAAGAAAGACCTGGTCAGGAACGCTTGCTATCCAAACCTTCGTTTCCCAAAGGGCCCCCCCCGGAATCGAAAAGAACAGCCTCGATAGCCAAGTTGCTGCTTTTTTCAGTCACTGTTGCTGGTTTTTGGGGTAAAGTTCATGGACAAAAAACAGCAAATGGCGATCCAGGAGCCCCCATACCCGGCCACGTGGTGCAGCAGGAACTGCGCCAGCGCAGGGCTGGCCGCGACCGGCGGCAGGCAAGCCTGGAGTCCACAGCGCGAGCCCGACTCGGATGGAGTCCAAAAAGCATATTACAGGGACCGATCCATCAATTTCAACCCCGTGTTGAAAAAAATAGAAAGTGGAAATGGTGGAACCCAGCAGTAATAAATTGCTGGTTGAAAGGAAGAATCCGGTGGACACTTGGTGAGTGTATTTTTTTAGGGAACCCTTTTTGGGTTGCTTGCCGAAGGAAGACGAAAATGAACCAAGTCTTTGTGCCATGTTGAGCCTGAAAGAGGACACACCCAACTCCCGCATGGGGGCTTGGGGGGGACGGGAGAGGGAGGGAGCCCGAATCCGCATGAAGGGCTTGATATCCCCCCCTCCCCCTCCCTCCCCCTTGGCATCCATGATATTCGGGGAAACCGACCCGGCGGCTCCGTCCCTCGCCGGCCTCAAAGAGAGGCCTGCGGTCGGGCGGCAGAAGCGAAGGCACCTCCGCCAGGGCACCTCGGGAATTTCTGGCGCGTCTTGGGTGAGGACTCTGGGGTGGGTAGGATTCAGCCGAAAAGTCACCTGCTCCTAGTTCTAGCTGCACCCTCTCCATTTGCGAAGAGATTCTTTGTCCATCACGAGTCTAAGGTTTGATTCCCAATTCTCCTCACGAATCGTTCTTTTTAGACCCCACTTATTTTCCAGGGGTTTGACCCATGTTTTGCAGAGAAGGATCGCTGAAGAGACCACCTGGGACGAAACTCAAAAAACAATGGATAAACCACCTACCAGTGCAGGAGTTTGTGCATGGTTATTACCGTTCATCACACCTCCAGGTGCGGTCTACTTCAGTTTTCTCCATTAACTTCTGGTCTCTTTTCTTTGCTTAACCCCTCACAAGTCTAGCAAGCCATGTGTTTGGAACCCCTTTCTTTGGCTCGCTGTCCTTTCCGTAAGTTGGCCCGAGGGCTCCTGAAGCCCCGCAAGACTCATCTTATTACCCAGCTGGGCTGTCGCGAAACGGAGCCTCCCGATAAATCACACGCAGTTCCGGACAAAAGCACCCAAGAAACACGAAAGCAAAGCGACCACTGAGGAAAGGGGGGCCAAACAGGCAGGGCTTCTTGCATGTCCCCTCCCCACTATAAACATCACTGAGGAAGCTTCGCCACCGACTCCCCAAAAATGTCTCATATGAGGCCGTCTCTTTTGCGGGAGCCACCATGGTTTTCAAAATAAACCCCGCGTGCTCCTTTCTTTTTCATGTTTTTTTGGGGGGGGGTCCCTAAAACCAATTTTTAAAGTGTGTTTTTTTTGCACAAACACGCCCAAACCCATGTCCCGCCCCGTTCTTGGGGGACCTACTGTGGATGGACGAAATCCTGCACCACGTTGAACCCATGAGAAACCACTGTTTTGTTGGTATTTACGGGGGAATCATCATTCCAGGGTTTCTTAGGTGATGCAGGATTTCGTCCATCCACAGTGTGTCACAGGACTCGACTCGACTCCAACGGACTCGACTCGACTTCGATGGCCTTCCAGGCTGGGAGGTCCCTGGCTCAGCACTCCGCTGAGGCTCCTCAGACCGACGTCGTCGCGCGGCCGGCGGTGGCTTGCTTCTGAAAAGAGTCGAGTGATCCAGAGGCCCGGCAAACGTGGGGGGACCAAAAAAAAGAACCACCAAAAAAAGAAGACTAAACATGGGGTGACAAAAAAAATAAAAAACACATAAAACAAGGAGTTGACCAAACACATCTGGCCAAACTACTCTAGGCCCTTCACCCTTGATTGTGGTGATGTGAAGGCATACCATCTTTGGGTTCCCGCATTGGGAGAGACCGAAAGTATACCGAACAGGAAAAACCTGTCTGCAAAAGGTCGGCGCATTTCCGTATGATTATATGGGTGGCTCGTCTGTTGGTACTTACCTATAATCCTGGGGGGGGATGAATTCCCTTGTTGTGGGTCCAGGTACCCTTTTTTGGTGGTTGAAGGGAAACCGCAAGGAACAACTTTGCGCCAATCGTCCAAATTCGGTGTGTCTCCATGTTTTGCAGGGTCGCTTCCCAGCCAAGGTCTTGGGTTCCTTGCCGTTCTGCTTCAAACCAACCAACCTAAAAGGGGGTACCCTGAAAACACAAGCAAGCAAGCGAGCGAGCGAGCAAGCAAACAAACAAGCGAATAAGCAAGCAAGCACGCAAACAAAGCAACGCAACACACACAAACACACGCAGACAACGAAAACTGCAACCCCGGCATAGGGATGGGTTTCCGCATGGCTGGCAACATCCCTAGCATCACCAGCATCATTTGGACCTGGGATTAGGGGGGCTTTTGGCTGGCTTAGATCTTCCTGAGGGTGGGTCTTGGTGGTTTGGGATTGATTTGAAGCGAAGGGCTGACATCCAGGCTGCTGTTGGGCGGAGCCAATTTGTGTTAGGTGTGCTGCTGGTTCAGCAGCGGCTTTAGGGTTGCTTTAGGTATTGTTAAGTGAGTTTTGGTCGAGTTTTGGTGGTTTGGGGCAACGCTCCAAACCGATCCTAAACGAGACCAAAACCATTCAAAGTCAACCCTAAGCTCGCCCAACAGCAGCCTGGATGTGAGCCCTTCTTCGCTTCTCCAAAATCAACCCCAAACCACCCCGAGACCCACCCTCAACCAAGCAACCAAGCAACCAAGCAACCAAGCTACCAAGCTACCAACCAAGCAAGCAACCAAGCAACCAAGCTACCAAGCTATCAAGCTACCAAGCAACAAAGCTACCAAGCAACCAAGCACCCAAGCAACCAAGCAACAAGGCACCAAGCCACCAAGCCACCAAGCCACCAAGCCACCAAGCCACCAAGCCACCAAGCCACCAAGCCACCAAGCCACCAAGCCACCAAGCCACCAAGCAACCAAGCAACCAAGCAACCAAGCAACCAAGCAACCAAGCAACCAAGCAACCAAGCAACCAAGCAACCAAGCAAACAAGCAACCAAGCAACCAACCAACCAACCAACCAACCAGCCAGCCAGCCAGCCAGCCAACCAACCAACCAACCAACCAACCAACCAGGGGACCAGCCCTAGTAAAAAAAAAACTCTAGGAAAACAAAAACACCGGATCCACCCCGGCATAACCTCAACCAAAATATCGCCGAGCTTCTGGTACTCACTGGTCATATAAGGCCGTAGGGCCTCCCGGACATCCTGGCAAGGCTCGCTGGCTGTCCTCAGATCCATGGGGTACTAAAAGGAATGGGGTTCCATGGGCTGTCCTCAGATTCATGAGAGTGAAGAAGGGGGCTTCCCCAAAAGGAAAGTCATCTTTCAAAACCCTCCTGTCCATGATTGAGCGAGGGTATCTGGGCTGTCCGTTTTCAGATCCATGGGATGGCCTGTCCTCGAAACTTATAACCGTGGGCTGTCCGTTTTCAAATCCCCTGTGAAAAGTGAACTTTTAGTGGGTGAAATTCGGAAACCCAACCACTAAACCAACTACCAGGCTAAACACCGAGTAAAACGGGGGCAAAAAATGATAAACAAGTAGCGTATATGTGCCTAGCTGACATCAGCGGGCCAAATTTTGCTTCTTTCCCCTGGTAGCCCAAGGGATGCATCTTTGCCTCTCGGCTTGTGGAGCTAATGCACAGTTGTTGTGTTTGTCTTTATTAAAGAACAAAACCAAGGGGCCAATATACCCAGCAAATTCCACAAGTCGCGAAAACCAGTTTTGAGAAATTCCTTTCGATCCCAGCCGTGCCTCCCGCGGGATCTTGGCCAGGACAGAATGGTCCTTGCCGCTCTTCTTGAGGACCTTAAAGATCTCCTGACACAAAACAGCAAACAAAAACAAACAAGCCGTTGGACAAACACATCTCTTTCCGGCTTCGGCAACTCATAGCTGTTTGTTTGTTTGTTTCCTCTTTTTCCGGGTCACAAACCATTGTTTTTGTTTGCTTTTGTTTTTTTCCGGCACAGGATCTCAGAGGGTACCTGTCTTAGATGTTCTGAAAGCAGAGGACTGCTCACCGCTAAGGGCCCTATCTACGCTATGCATTCGCTCACAGTATCCCTTGCTTGTCTTTTGCTTCTCTTTGGACTCTGGGATGTTGCATGCCGTTGCTTTTGCCTTGTTTGTGTTCAACATGGTCCAAAACCATGCCCTTGTGGAAGGGCGGGACATACAAGCTCACCCATGACAAGGTTCCTGAGAAATTGGACCGAAGCTCTTAGTGATTTTGAAAGTCCGCCCCTGCAAATAAATGGGGAGGAAGCCAAACCTCGATACGCAAGAAGGTGGGCAAGGTATACGCAGAGGATTGCGCCGAGACCGTTTCTTCCACCCAGTGAATTGCCAAATCCCAACGAAATCGGATGGTCAGCACGGGTGGGGCATGAATTCCCCGGCTCAACCATTGCTCTACCACCTTTCGCAAGGGCTTTCCCTCTTTGGAGGATCCCTCAAGGGGAGTGACTGGAAAGGGGCCATTCGGACACTTTAACTTCGGCGGGGATGTCCGTGTTGCCCTTAAAACTAGAACCAAGCGGTGGACAAAGGCCTCTTGGAAGACCATGAAGGAAGGATGCCCTTTGGGGCGATTCAGAGTTAGCGAGGGGTGGTTGCTGCATATCCTGCAACCCAAGGGCCCGTTTCTTGCAAATCCAAAGGGGTTCCGTTCCTGACGCTGATCAATTCAAGGGTTTGGGCTCCCCTCCCCAAGCAAACAAGTGGATTATCTTCACCCAGGACAAGCCGAACCAAGTAGCGGTTCGATATTTTGTTTAATCAAAAAATGAGAGCATGGAAATGGCTTGTCTCAAGCGCTGGCTCGAGAGGGAAAGCATAGGGGCGCATGCTGACAAATCCAGCTGCCGAGTTTCGAGAAAAATCCTGACACCGACCCCCGGAAGCGGGGACCGGCCGGTCCGGGTCCCCCATCTTGCTGATTGAAACTTGGGGGATACGGCCGCGAAATATTCCTGAAATAGAACAAACCGCGCTGACACCGCGGCAAGACTCAAGAACAACGCCCGTGGACAATACACAAGGCTGGAACGCTTTCTCGGTTGCAAATCTGCTCCCCTAAAAGTTGAACTTTTCGTGGTTTTATGCGGAAAACCGTTCCATTTGTTGGCTTAAAAAGTTAAATTGTCCTAACATCCCTTGGAAAAATGCGCCAAAACTCTGGTCCAGCTGCCGGCCCCCTTTGGCGACCGAAGCCACGGCAAAAACGAAAAAACAATCCCCACGACCGATCCTGGGCTGCGAAGGCGAAGGCGCTCCGCGTGAGCTGCGGTGCCAGGAAGTCCTCGATTTTTCGGCATCTCACTTTGTGAGCGGATGGCCCAAAAAAAGGAAGGATGCCACTAACCTAGGGGTTCATTCCCCATTCCTTCGGGGGATTCATGGGGGAACTTGCGAAAATCATACAGTGGATGGTTGTGAAATCCACTTCGCACCACTGTTCAGAAACCCTGGAATGATGATTCCCCTGCAAATATCAACAAACAACGGTTTCCCATGGTTTCAAAGTGGTGCAGGATTTCGTCCATCCACATTACTAAAAGCAACCAAGTATGTCTTTGTATGTTGTATGCCACTTCCCCAAAAGAAAGGTGCCACTAAGCCACAGCAACCAAATAGATCCCCAGTTGACTACAGCAATCAAAT